GTGCAGTGATCGTCAAACCATTGTAACGATGTTACGTTATTGATTATAGTTTTCACGGTCGTCATTGTATTGAGGAATGTCTTCAACATACGTAGAAAATGTACAGTGTCCAACTTCACCAGTTACATTTCACGATTTCTGGTAGTGTTTTACGTTTAGCGACTTTTCATATCATTATCTTGAAGTCTACTACAACTGTTGTAAAACCGAAAATATTTAATGCAACTCTGTTTACATTAGATCTTAGCGGCAAATGCCACCAAGGGAGGCACGCGTCCAGTGTTCCACTGATATTTGTAACCACAGTTATTGAAAAACTGGACTCGATGACCAGAACAAATTTGGACACTCTCTCTCGTCCATAACGACTTCTCGTCGGTTATTGGTGTCTACTGTCTAATCTAATTTGTTTGTGCGCTAAACACAACTAATACAAAAAGTACGAAATGTCCTAAAACGAAGTAAAATGTCGCCATCTAAATTTAGAAAGGATAACCCTTACAAGAGCGGCGTTCATTGAAAAGCAATCACGTGGGAATTCTTCATCCTGAATGTTGATTGTGTAAAAGACTGCAGCCGAATCGTCGATCAAAAAATCCCGTGGATATATATTCACAAAGACAGCGGAGTACTGTTGATGAATCTGACATTGTTATGTTCTCAAATTTGTCACGAGTGGGGGCCATAGTACACCAGTGATATATTTGAATTATAGCAATTTTTAGAGTATGGAACATAAAGTAGTCCTCGATTATATTGACCGAACAAAAATACTGGTTCTCTCATGGTCTTGTTTTTAATCTAAGTGAGGCCCAGCGTGTACGAAGATTACATCGTTGGCTGAACATGTCTGGAAAGGGAATCTGGTATACAATTGAAACTTCACGCTAATTTATAACACGCCCAGTTGTATTTGATGTGCTAAATGATTTGTTGTTTTGAAGTTATTGAAAAAAAAAAACAATTGATTAACCACATTAGTTACTGCCTAACATGCCCCGTGGCATGCTGAGCTGAAACGAAGATTCTCCACTCCTGTCTTAATGGGCTGTCCTACAGACACTACCTCAGGAAAGGTGTATACCAACTCATCAGCTCTACACCAGGTGGTATTGGGTCTGTTGTTCTTTTCCCATCAGTTGTCCAGTCCAGGGCTACTTTTTGGATCCCTTATAATTACATGCCCAATCAGTCACCAGCACCGCCTGGCTATGATGATAGCCGTGCTCTCCTGTTAGCATGTCGTGCCGCGTCCTGTTCGATATGGGACTCATAGCGACGTATACAACGCGTGTAAAATACATTGTTTATTTATATGAAATTCGAACACGCGCTGCGCGACGACCACCGCGCTTTAAGTAGAAGGTAGGTGAAGGTTCTTCTCAGATTCTGATACCAGCCTGAAGTCACTCACCGCCATTCCACGGCACAATGAGCCGATATACGATAGCATAATCAATGCCACTTTTCAATCCCAGTAAGGCCATTTTTTACCATTAGAGGTGTACGGTCAGAGAACACCCAATACAAAATCACATATAAAATGAGTAACTTTCAAAATCATTCATTTGATCATCAAATGTTAGGTTCGTTTCAGTAATCGCAGTGCTGTTCAGCTAAAGCCTCGTCACCTGCGCATGGTCAGATGGTCATAGCGTGTCATTGTTTACAAACAAGCGTCTATCCATGAGCCTTTGCGTTTTTATTGTTTTTAGCGTGTGTTGTTATCGTCACTTGGGACTCAATTCTCGCTTTAAGAGAGTGGTTTAAGAGTGACTGTTGCAAGAATATCAAAGCGACGAGTGATCAAATTCACGCTACCATCAGGTAGCTTTCTTTAAAGATATTCATTGCGATTATTTTATTTCTGTTATATTTTTTACAGATGTTTCATCTATATGTATTGACCACCGTGACATATTTTGCCCTTCGTGACCCACATTCGTTATTTTATAATAACAAATTAAGGTCTTTTGTAAAAAAATTTAATCTCAAAATTCTGGGAGAAATTCACAGACACCAGTCACTGAAACTATTCGACAATTCGCAGAAAACGAAATTCGATGTCGAATACAACATGGCAAATGCAAAACCAATCCAACACTTAGGTTTGCTCAAATGTGTATATTTTTATTTGCAGATAGGGAGTCTAGAAAATTATTTTCTCTTCAAACATAGTGATGTTCCAAGCAGATCTAAACGTAGTTCTCATCAACACACCAAACGGTTAATAGATGACAACAGGGTAAGAAAACGACTTTCACAATAATAGAAAAGTGGAGGGGTTCCGGTGTACGTGATAATCATTTGTCCATCTTACGGCAACATACCTGGTATAAAAATTGATTTGCATGAAGCAACTGACTACTCGTTTTCTTAGAATTTGTGCGGCATCCAATAAACAAACACTCACCTGCCAAACCGTGGTGTGATAGAATTAGAAAAGTATTTCAATAATTATACCATAACTAGGTACGAACGAGGATGAACAAAATGGCGGATTATGTGATGTACTCAGACCCCCGCAAATAAATTATGTTATGCATGTATACGTTTGGAAATATAACAGTTTATCCATTGCTATAAAACACCACACATCACCGAGAACAAAAATATTTTTATGACAATGTTTTTATCTTTTAGATTCACTGGGTTGAGCAGCAATTTGGACGTGATCGAGTGAAACGAGATTTCATAATACGTGATGAAGGGAACAGTGACAATCTATACAATGACCCCATGTGGTCTGGGCAATGGTACTTGGTAAGTTCAGGTTTGTTATGTCCGCTCTCTCACTGCAATATAGAGAGGGAATTTCATACTAATAGGATAACTACTAGTACATAATTATCTGTTTATAATTAACATGCCCTCTTTAATTAGAAACTGTGTTTTTCTGTACAGCATGATAAACGCCAGTCCACCGACTCACCCAAACTCGACCTACACGTATTGCCAGTGTGGAAAAAGGGAATCACAGGAGAAGGTATCGTGGTGACTGTGCTGGATGACGGTAAGTTTTAATACTTCCCGTGTTGCGCACATAATCCTATATCTACATTGATCAGCCTTCACGACGACCGAAATTAATTGTGTGTCATCACTGTGGGATGTGGAAAAGTTAATTATTTCGTGCCTTGATGACGTGTTCAGGCGACAATACAGTGCTCCAAACAGATGTAGTTGCATCTGCATTTGGCGAACTACGTATTAAAATGATCCATATGGTTTTTAAAATCGATTAATGATTTCCAAAATGAGAGCGATTCAAACATGGTATCTAACATTATTAAAACTGAAGACTCCCTCTAAGAAAATGTGTCAGTCCGCCAATTTGAAACCTTTTTTTTCGCTCAAATGTCTAATGATTAGTTATTCTGGTATTGTATTCTATAAAGATATACAGATAAGGAGATTTAGATAGCCAGATAAATAGAAATACAATAATTCTAATATTCTTCATGAATGATATGCTACACTTGGAGCACCCGCCTTCATTTAAAGTAATTTCGCTTCACTGACTGTGACACTTGAGACTTGCTACGGTCTGACAAGTCTACATTAATTATCGTTGTGCTATTTGGAGGAAATACAACAAAAACAAATCTCGATAAAATGCACATTCTTTAGAAGCGAGTGTTTTGTTTACTTTTTGATTTACTTTTGACAGGACAGCGAACTTTTAGTTACCGTTCTTCTAAATTATGCAACTCTTTGCCATTTGAAATGAAGCGAATTTTAAATACCCATAGATTTTAAGATATCCTGCGCGATATTATTTGAATATACTGTTTATAAACTATTTATTTTATTGATACATTTATCACTTTCCTTGCATTTATCATGAATCCAGATGAAAATTACTCAGACAGAGCAACTCATCGCCTCAGTAATAATGTAAAAATCACTGTTTTTCCTTCCCTGTTTGTGATATAAAAAATGCCATCAACTTGATGACATAGAGGCGCTGGGCAACGCAGAACATTATCGTTCATGACAATGATTTTACATGGTTCCCTTTTTGTCGACAGGTTTTGAAACCGATCATCCAGATCTAACAAAGAATTACGATAAAGATGCTTGTTATGATTTCAATTCCAACGATGCAAATCCATATCCAAGATATAATAATCCCAATAACGAGGAAAATAAGTAAGTGTGACATCACAATACAAGTCCTCTATCCTTCGAAGAATTTTTTGTGACGTACATTTTGAAACAAAATGATGAATGTTTATCGTAAGTAATCGCCAGTCAAATAAAACAACATTGAAAAGTAAGTTATGATGCTCAGTTGTTGAGCGATATTGTTTTAACTCAGCTACGTCCTATTGACGTCATAGACATGCTTTGCCACTAGAGAGCGCGATTTCTAGGTAATATGTACAGTGAACCTTATTATTGGGAGAATCCATACCATTCCCTACTGTATCAGAGTCACCGGCCACTAATTGAAGAATAAGCCTTCACAATGAAAACCGGTATATGGCTTGACAATGTTTTAATATTGAATGAACCATTTATTTGGGATATGAGTCAACGTTAAACATGAAACCATACGCTATTATATCGGTCGCATATTATTGCTGTTCACCATGTTTGTAAACAATACACGAAATTAGTGTGAGATGTGGTAAGACGTCTTCGCTATACAAACCGCTGGAAAAATGACCAAATTACCGCTACACTGTATTTAATCTATTTAAAAACAACAGTTTCTCAAAACATATCATGGCGACGGCCAACTTTGTTCACGTAATGATCGTTGTAGTACCCCCAAATATTACATAATGGACATTTACTAGTACGTTTCATCGTGACTGTCCATGTGAGTCCGACACAACATAAATGTTTACATAACTACCAATATTAGGAAGGTGGTAAATATTTATTCGATCTACTCAACAGACATGGCACACGATGTATTGGCGAGATTGCGATGGAAGAAAACAATAACATTTGCGGAGTAGGTGTCGCGCATGGTGCCAAAATTGGAGGTAGGTAGAG